TTTCCAATATTTTGGTTGCAGTTTTATACAACGCTTTCCATGATTTAGGTTAGAGCGTTTTAGGGTTGAGGTTGCAGATTTAGAAAACATTTTTTCATGATTTAAGATGCAACTTTATGAAGAACTTTCTATGATTTAGGTGGCAGTTCGATGAAGAGGTTTTTACAATTTAGGTTTGAACCCCATAAAACAGTTTAAAATTCCTTCTATGATTTAAGTTGCAGTTCTATAAACCACTTTCTATGATTTAGGTTGCGATGTTCCTGTGTATGCTGCTTTTGTTCTTTTGTTTAGTATTACTTGATCCTCACAAGTAGGTCGTCAGCAAGTGAGTACATGATGTTGAAAAAGGAGGTTTGCTTCGCTCGCAGCTAAGTTCGACATGAAATGCAACAAAATGAACGACTTTCGCGCCGAAAACTCCAAAAACACGCTGTAAAACACTGAAAAAACAGGGCCCGTTGGGCGTCCCGGACTTTTTTTTTTTTTTTTGCGAGAGGCCGGCAAGGCCCCATAGGCGGGTCACAAAACGACACTTTGGCAGGAACCCCGGAGAGCAATTCAGGAACTAAAATCAGGAACGTCGCGAATGCATTCGAAACACTTTCTCTGGTCTTGTTTTGAAGGCAGGAGCATGGATTGGTCTTGTCAATGGGCGAAGTTGGCTTCCGGCACTCAGGCTCAAGCTTTGGCCAGTTTTGTTGCATCAGAGCAAAGGGCTTTCAAGATGTAATCCTTGGATGGTCTTACAGAAAACCCAAAAGCAATCACCCGGATGGAATCCCGCTTTTTGAAAATCCGTTTGACAATCATTATGTTGCAGCGTCGCAGATATCATGCCGAAGACCCCTAACCCATTTTCACTGGACAGATCGAAACATGCAGAACCAACGAAGAACGTGCTACATGCGATTGTATCCCAGGATTCCTTCACATCCATTTGCGGAGTTTCCAGCATGACCTTTTGAGGCAATAAGCGGCAGGATGATGTTTCAAGAGGAAACACATTGCGGATGGACAGAAGCCTGCACCAGTTATGCTAACCGCCAACTAACTGGTGCCGATCGGCGTGAATTTTGTCCACAGGGAAACCCGTATCCCTGAAGCTGAAACGCCATGCAATGCTTTGCAGCTAGCTGCTCTCTCAGACTCGGTTCCGAAAGAGTGAACATCCGGCAGCGACATCAGTCCAGTTGGCCGATGCTTGGCTTTCCAAACAGCGGTCACCTCTTGAGCCGATTTAAAGTGAGCTCCTTTTTGGTGGGGTGATGTTTGAAGGCAACATATGTGGGGACCCTGTCGTTGAGTTTTGTTCATGCCCACGCCCTTGTTTTGACGGCTCGTTTGGACACCACATATATTGAATGCCTCGGCTGTACAACGTTTTCCTCTTGGCTTCCTTTTAAACCCCCAAATCCCGAGTCTGAAACAGGCCACGCCCGCTTGCTTCTGTATGTTTACCCTCCTCAGTGATTCAACAAGGGACACCAAAAGGAAACTGAGCACATCGGGGAAGGTCAGACGGACGGTGAAGTTTCGAGGGGGCCACGAAATGAGGCCGAGCGCTCCGACGGTGCAGGCGCATTTTGTGGTGCTGTTTTGTCCAGGGCAGGGTATTCATATTTTCCCCCCAAAAACAATGCCCACTGCCACATTCAGTTGGTGGACCACATCCGTGGGCGACAATAAGCCAACCACCAGTGGCCAACTGCTGGTGGTGGTGTCTGAGGATCTTCCGAGCGTGGTCAACATTCATGCATGACTGGAACATGTGTGTACGACAGGGAAGCCAAGATGAAACAAACCAGCTGCACAGGGAGGTGTTGCCACGCTTCTATTTCTGTGGTTAGTTGGAGCTGTTTGACAGGAAAGCCGCAAAGAATTTGCCGGAATTCGATTTGGGCAAGTTGTTTGGCCATCTTTTTTGCACAGGGGTCCTACTGTTGTCCTTAGAAGCCAGATGCCAGTGTTGATGTGCATGAACCTCAGCTTTTGGCCGTCAAGTGTGAGAGGGAACCATGGATTTCCCCACGAAGAGAGGCGCGTCTTGGCATTCCGCTTAAGACAACGGGATTTGGGGGATCCTGGATTCATGCAACCAAACCTCACAGTTCTCGGTGCAAGACAGGCGCTTGGGTCCTCGGGGTGTGTTTTGGGGCTGATGTGTGTCCGGGCCGCGCGGCAGAAAGGCGCGGTTTCTTGCAGCCAAGTCTTCGTTTGGACGATTCTTCCCAACACCTTCACCTTTGGTTCCGTTGGGCATGTGGAATCGAGGACCCCCGCTTCCTTTGGCTCCAAACCCACCTCCCTGAAGTACTTCTGTAGATCTCAGCCTTTGCTCCCCCCGGGCAAGCCATCGCCTTACTCTCCATTCGCAAGTCTCTCGGCGGAAAACGCGGCGCTGGGATCCTGGGACGCGTTGGGGGCAGACCGCGTCGCTCGCGACGCGGCCTGTTCGCGGCGCGTGCGGCATATGACCGCACCAGCTGCTGCGGGATGGGTGTCGCAAACGTTGTTTTCGGTTGGGCTCACGGATGATTGCAATTTGCTATGCAGATGAGGATGTTCAGTGTGTGTACATTGACCACTGGCTGGCTGATGCGGGGATACACTGATCTCATTTTAGGTCTTGACATTGAAGCCATTAATGAATATCCTGACCCTCATCTCATCAATACCTCACAAGATAGCTATCAATTTTAGTGGCCAGCACGACAACTGGTTGCCGAACGTTTTTTCCATCGTGTTCATCAAGCTTCATACCCGGAGCAAGCCCGAGCTGGCAAAAGAGCTGGACCTGTAGGAATCCATTTGATCGGAAGTTGCCCCGAAACCTTCTCTTCCAAGGAAAGCACTCCTGATTGATCAGGTGGAATTCTGTTTGGACCCCGAAACCATGGCCCAAAAAGGGTACTCTTCTTTTCACCGGATTTGACGCTGAATGCGATCTATCGTAACACCCGCATGAGCTGTTATAAGCATTTTGGTTGAACTAGCAGTCAGCTGACGTTTTTCCAGGAAATTCGGTGAGAAAATGGCCAACAACGGCCATTTGGTTAGTGACTCGTTGGGCTCGTTCCACTGGGATTGAGCCAGACAAGCGCACCTCATCTTGTGACTTTTTGACAGCCCTTTTTCGCTCAAAGGCGAACATTGCCTTCTTTGGCGTTTCTGCACAATCTAAAAAAGATCATGGTTTTGAATGCCCGTGACTTGGCGACCTTGCAGAAACATCTAAGGGAGGGTGTGGCCATGGCATAACCTATGGCGATCCCATTTTGGGGTGGATCCATTTGCCACCCACTTATCAATGTTCACCCAGGGGTTTCCTGGGATCCATTTGCCACCTATTCCAATGTTCACCCAGGGGAAACCCCTGGGTTTTGACAACAGCCATATGGACTTGGATGTGGGTTTCCCGTTGCTTTCGGATGGCCAGGCCGTGCCTGCGGGTCCAGCTGACGCGCATTTCGGGTCCCGAAACCATGAAGAGGGGTCGGTGGCTTTTTGAGGGCTCCTTAAAAGATCTCCATTTTGCCATTTGAAACGTGCCTTTTCCCCCAAAATACGGGGAAACCACCGCTTACAAGTTGCAATGTTCAGGTGTACAATGTAAGGATCTGCCAGAACAGCAGGTCGTGGGTGTTGCCAGTGGCGATCTTTTTTGAGCCTGTTCCTAGTGAAGGAAAAAGCTCCAGGGCCGGGCAAGATGAGAAACTGGTTGAGCCAGGCGGGAGCTCAACCGGCCGGCCAAGCGCCTTTGATCAGGTTTGCTTCGTGAGCGGTTGGCAGGCCGCCGTGGATGCGAAAGCGGCTTTCGCCGGTGCGGCGCAAATCTGTCGCGGTCTTGGGTCTGGCCCTTCGCAGGTCCAGCCGGTGCGCGTGATTTCAGGCTGGACGTGCGTCCTACACGCGGGTTGGACGCCCAAAGGAACTGCGTTTGGATCCAGCGGAGACTCGAGCGGGCCCTTCTTCAAGGCGAGGAGTAGCGCCAGGCGGGACGCCGGATTGCAATGCCTCGCTTCCGTGCCACGAACTGGGAGAACTGGGGTTCGGAGTCTCAGAAGGTCAATCAAATCAAACTGAAAACTCGGGATCCCTCCAAAATTGCTGGGGGAACCACACTGTTCTAAGGCTTTGGAATTCCCATCTGGCGAGTGCCCACTTTGCAATGATCAGGCGGCGAAGTGGATTCATTCGTGGCCCAAACACGAGAAGCAAATTCCTCGAGTTCCCATCAGCTTCAGATTCATTCGATCGGAGATATACCAAGGATTGCAGAGATCCACCTTGAACCTTGGTAGTCAAGCAGGTCGAATCCTTCACGCACGTTCGTCAGGAGTTTTGGGCAGAGAGTAGGGGCACAAATGCAACCCACCCATTCACCCTGAGACATGGCATGTGTTTGTCTTCGCAGCTTGTCAAGCATCCCAAAGAGGCTTTCGTCCTTTCAGAGGGTAGTTGATTGGGGGGAGAGTGTAGAGGTTGCACGAGAGAAAGGTATCTTGAGAACCAATGGCCAACTTCCGGGTTCCTTATACAGATCCGACATACATTTAGAGCTTAAACTACCTGACAATGGGCCAAGAGCTGTGGTCAACGCAAGAAGTTAGTCTCTTCTACACCAAAAAAGTGGACTCAAGAACATGTTTCTTCACCCTCCTGGTTTCCCAAGGCCAGAAAGAGAGGGGTGGGGTGCGTGGGTTGGAATATGACACCATTGGAACCCAAAGAAACACCTAAAGCAATCTGCCAAGGAAATACAAAAAAACACTGAACGGAACCGGTTTTGGGGTTCCAACGTCTTTGAGAAAGACTCATGGCCAAATCATAGACTCACTGTAGGGAGAACGTGTCTTGTCTTTTGGTGAATGAAGATCTTGTAGATTGAAGGTTTGAAGACACCAGGGAAAGGAGTTGGAACGTCGCATTCCGCTTTCATGGGCTCAAGCCGGCGCTTTCAATGCTGGGCGAGCCTCCCGTGGCCGCGATTGTTTGTGATGGGTAAAGGCCGGGCTCGAAAAGGAGGAGTTTTGGGCGGGTCTGCCAGGCTTCCAGTTCCGGCATTTGAGGTTGAGTCCAAGAGTCCATGTACGATCGATTCTGGGTACAATTTTGCGTCCTAGCGAGCTGAATTGGAGAATCGTCAGTGGTTCTCCGAAAGCCATGGAGCAGTGTAACCAAGAGCAAGTTCAAGAGCGATTTTGTGTAGGAGTGCACTACAGAACCCTTGGCACATGCCTTGTGAGTAAGAAAACGCAGGTAATTGGAGGGTAGTAAGGGACAACCCCAGCCACAAATGAGTGCGGCCGCCTTGTCAATTCTTTACATGGTTCTAGACTATGTGTATACCAGGTTTTGATTGTGACGCTTGTGGCTCTTGGGCTTTGGCATCTTCCGGTTTTGGGGGACGCCGAATCCGAGGATACGATGCCTACCGCGACCGCGGTTGGCATGTGAAGGCGCGGAGCCACCTTTTGAGGTTGGGAGGGAGGACTCGCCCTTCCCACGGCAGATATGGCACCCGAAAAAAGGCCCCCTGTGACAGAAATCCTATCTTCCTTGCCCTCTTTGCCCTGTTGAGCTTCGAGCTTGACAACACAGTCCCAAAGACCTGCAATGAACAGAAGTACATCATGGATCCAGTTACCAATTTTGAAGGATCTAAGATCGGTTTGTCTCAAAGGGCGTACGCCTTTGGCCGCCCCTTAAACCAACCCCAAAAAGGGTACCGGACCTCGACAACACAGAACACCCGACCGGCGTTTCTTGTTCCTGCTGCTAAGGACATTAAAAGTCAGAACGGTTCTGTCTTTTTTGGCTTGCCACTTGGGGGCGCGACTTTGGACTTGGATGATGAGATGGTTGGGTCCGGTCCTTTTTTGCTTATGGGGGAGGGTGATGTTTTTTGGGGAGATTTGTTCGGCGGTTTTTGGGGCGATTAATTTGACACTCCGAAGTTCCTGCAGGCTTGCATTTGCCTTGGGTTGCAGGGCGAAGCTCTTGAGCCGATTCGTGTACTTTGCAGGGGACTGTATAAATGGTGGGACACAGGCAGCCAATCTGACGCAGCTGTTGACTTGTGCGCTTCGGCCAGACAAACTGGAAGCAAGACTGGAAGGAGGAGAAGTACAATTCATACAGCCGCAACAAAGGCTGGAGCGCGGTTGGAGCTGTTTCGGGGTTTGAGGGTGAGGGTTTTGGGATGGGATTTGTTGGACCTTTCGGGGAAAGACAGAGAAGGTGTGCAGTTGCCACTCTGCCACATCTTGAGAGAGTGATTTCCAGTATATAGCCTGCGGTTTGTTTGGGACATGGCGTGACTTGCCGAGCAAATCCCAGAGAACGAGCCTAAATTGGCCCACCGCAAATTTTGACCATGGCTCACATTCGAGACCGTTTTAAGACCAGAATTTGATTATGGCTTCTAACCTAGAAGAGCCGCTCGCCTCCCGCAGTATTGAAATCGCAGGGAAGAGAACATTTGACTTAAATCGGGGAACATCCATGCAGCCCTTGCAGTGGCTGTGAAAGGTGGTAGAACCTCATACCAGCTCTTGGGCACCGCTCTGCTCGTTCGTTTTGCAAGATCTGGGCGTGCTGCACTTTGCTCGGGGAACATGCATGATTACATCCATACCATGTATGAGATGGGCACCTCCACAAGCAACTAGCGAAACTTTCCGACTTCTTGCTGTGAAAGCTGTTGTGTACTGTTAGATGTTTTATTATGTCTTGTTATGCACTTTTGTGGCAATCGTGGAACACCTGTTTTTTCAAATTCCATGTTTCGTGCTAGATGAGCTCACATGGGCCATTGCAGCGCGGATTTTTTTTATGGGTTCCAAAAGGAGGCCAACGTAAGGCCCAAAAAAGACAACTTACTTTGGGGGGATTTCCTGACATTTGCTATGTGTCAAAATAGGGGGACTACATACATACATACATACATACATACATACATACATACATACATACATACATACATACATACATACATACATACATACATACATACATACATACATACATACATACATACATACATACATACATACATACATACATACATACATACATACATACATACATACATACATACATACATACATACATACATACATACATACATACATACATACATACATACATACATACATACATACATACATACATACATACATACATACATACATACATACATACATACATACATACATACATACATACATACATACATACATACATACATACATACATACATACATACATACATACATACATACATACATACATACATACATACATACATACATACACACATACACATACACACATACATACACACATACACACATACACACATACACACACCTACATACATGCACACGTACGTACGTACGTACGTACATGCACACGTACGTACGTACGTACGTACGTACATACATACATACATACAGACAGACAGACAGACAGACAGACAGACAGACAGACAGACAGACAGACAGACACAGACACACACACACATTACATTACATTACATTACGTTACGTTACGTTACGTTACGTTACGTTACGTTACCTTACATTACATTACATTACATTACATTACGTTACGTTACGTTACATTACATTACATTACATTACATTACGTTACATACATACATACATACATACATACATACATACATACATACATACATACATACATACATACATACATACATACATACATATATATATATATATATTATATTATATTTATTATATACACATATTGGTGGCTTTCCGCTGGACTTCCCTTGAAACCAAGCCCAAAGGTCTCTCCAAAGGACACCTTTTTGGAGGCTGACCGGTACAAGAAGCTTCGGCACCGAACATGCTTGTGCTTGTTTTGGCGGCTTTTGAGATCTTTCTTTGCCCATCTGAGACAACTACCGGCAAGAGGATTGTCAAGACTTGCTTGTTTCATGGTAAGGTTAGGTCCTCCCGTCTTGATTTTGCGCCCAAACTGCTGGACGCCGTTGAAGGACCAGGTTGCAAAAGCCGTGGCAAAAGCTCTGGTAGAATTTTGGGGGAAGTCGTTGTGGCGAAAACAGATTGGGACTCAACCGCAAAGGGCCAAGCCTCGGGGTCCATTTGCCTCCATCAAGGTGCTTGACCGTCTCATCTAATTATGGGAGCCTCTTAAGGCACACCAAGAACGCCGACCAGACTCCGCGCTACCGAAAACCCTGGTGGTTTTTTAAAATTGGATGCGCGTTGGTTTGCAACACTGGCATCCGCAAAGTCAACGCGGCCAGGCTGGGGCGGTGAAGATCGCGGCCCCAAGGGGAAAGGAGGAGGCGCGGCCTGGGCAAAGCTGACCAGGAATCGGATCCATTGGGGGATTCCATGCGTGGCTCTTTCTTCAAAAACCTGCCCTTCTTCATTTTTTTTTGGGGTGACTCCAGTTAGTTCTCTTCCCAAGTAGCTAAGCACAAGTTCCGGCAAGAGACACATCCATATCGGGTTGTGTTTTAGTGAGCCAATGAGTAGTGGGCCATGTACGATATGAAGGACATGGGGGGGAGGTATAGGGATGTGTCTTAGCTGCGATCTGAACTGGGTAGGGGCCCACACCAACCCACATGCGCACCTGAAATCCCGAGTCATGGCGGGTATAGTGAGGTCGACAGGAGGTTGTCTGAATCGGGGTCATCTTTTTTTGGGTTCCCGCCTACTGTTGAGACCAACACATGTGAACCATGCGAGTAGAACCAAAGTCAGGTTTTGCTTGCTGCTCACATGAGCCCTGACTCGGGAAAGTAATCATGACCTGACAATGATTCACAAACAACTTGACGTTTGGGTTACGGCTAAACCTCTTGGCACTCAGACAAAGCAACAAATCTGGTCATCACTTGGACCTGTTTTGACATCATGCTGCATTGTATGGTATCTGGTGCATGATAGGAACCACTGAAGGAGACAGGCTATTTGATTTTGTAAGCAATCAATCTGCTTACAACCCACTTGGCTATGAATCTTAATGGGGAACCCCTGAAAAGTGATTGGTGGACATGAATCCCCACCTCAATGATGTCCACCAAAGGGTCCCTAATGAACATTCATTCCCACTTAGGGGACTTCTATCGGGGCACTGTGAATGGGTTTTGGTACTAAGTAGGCCTGCCTTGGGGATGACGCAGGAAAGGACTCCAGCAACTTGTCCAAGTGGCCGGGAAGCCCAACGCGGGCATGGTTGGGATGGATCTTTCACCTGAGCTGCATACTGGTTGCGTTTTCCCACTGATGTTTGCAGGATCTCGATGTGTGGTGGATCTTATGCATGTGACAGTAAGGGAATCCAAGTGATATTTTGTAGTCATGGGAGCGACTGGCATGTATTATGGTGCTGGCATTTATCATCATGAGTAAATTCACTGCCTCAATCATGGTGGCTGTTGTGGTGGTTAGTTGTGGTGGTTAGTTGTGGTCTTTGTTTTCCCCCTTCAGGTTCGCACGGTACCCATCTTTTGAAGGGCGGGCGATGGCCACTGATGGCAACTGACGCGGGGAATTTCGCCAAATCCACCGGCATGCGGTTGAGCAGCTGGGAGGGGTGACCCGGGCCAAAAGGCCCGGTCTCAGCCATAAGCGAGCCCGGGCCCCGGAGCGGGACCAAAACCCCCCAGTGATCTTAGCAGGTACTCCTGGCTTCAGGTGACAGCAACATCAGATGCGGGGGATCAAACAAAGGTACCAAGATGGCCCTTTAGCAAATGGAGCCAAAGACTAAAAGCTGCGGTTGGCCCTAGCTCCTGAATTTTGAGCCACAGCCAAATCTAGGAGTCCCTTTTCGTCCGACTTCCAAAAGGACTCGTGGAGGTCCCTTCGGAACACACCCGCAGAGCTATGGAGTTGCCAACGGGGGGGCCTTTAAGAGGAGTTGCTTCCGCAAGCTCCACTGAGACCCGTCCGCAGGGTCTCTCTCTGGCTCTGGGATGAAAACAAAGAAAGCTGAGCCAAAGACAGTCTCATTCTTGGCCGGGCACGAATTCTCCCTAGGATACGCTTCAGCCAGACAAAAAGCTCACCATTTGAGGATGTGACGCAGGGTTGGAAGTATCCTTCTGGAAGCTGGTCCTACCGGACTCAACCGGGCTTCGAGCAAGGCCCGTTTCGGCAACGAACCGCCCGGAACGGGTTTCTGGGGGCTTGGTGGATTGGATTGGATCCATTTCTGTAACCTTGAAACCAATCCGTGGATGGGATTGCTCAACACCAAGGTTCACAGGGGCCCGTGGGGTCACAGGCGGGGTCCAGCTCAGGCTGACCTGGGTGCTCCGGCACGGCGCCACGGAGGATCGGATCGGACGGGAAGCTTCTTGGGGACTGAAGCTTCTCTCAAATGTCCTTTTTTATGTTGGTGTTTTTCTTGGGTTGGTTCTCTCGTTCTTGTTGTTGTTTTTTCCTTTTTTTGTTTTCCCGAAAGCATGGCGAAGGGTTCTTCCGCTGGGTTCCCTTGAGTTGTTCTCATGAGAGTCATTACAAGGTGTCATTGCAAGGAATCATCATCATGAAAGTCATTGCAAGGAGTCATTGCAAGGAGTCATTGCAAGGAGTCATGCAAGGAGTCATTTGCAAGGGAGTCATTGCAAGGAGTCATTGCAAGGAGTCATTTTGCAAGTGCAAGTTGCAAGGAGTCAGGTGCAAGTTGCAAGTGCATGGAGTCAAGTGCAAGTTGCAAGTGCATGGAGTCAAGTGCAAGTTGCAAGTGTAAGGAGTTGCAAGTTGCAAGGAGTCAAGTGCAAGTTGCAAGTGCAAGGAGTCAGGTGCAAGTTGCAAGTGCATGGAGTCAAGTGCAAGTTGCAAGTGTAAGGAGTCGAGTGCAAGTTGCAAGTGCAAGGAGTCAAGTGCAATTGACTTGCGAGGAGTTAAAATCTCTTCTTAGGGCGGCGGGGTAGTGCCGACGACACTACACGAAAATCGACCCTCTGCGGGGATCGGCGTGGTCGAGGTGCAAAAACCCATGGTTTTTTGCGATTTCTGCGGTGCTCGCGCGACCCTCTGCGGGGATCGGCGTGGTCGAGGTGCAAAAACCCATGGTTTTTTGCGATTTCTGCGGTGCTCGCGCAACCCTCTGCGGGAATCGGCGTGGTCGAGGTGCAAAAACTCGAGGTTTTTTGCGACTTTTGTTGTTCGAACTGGTCCTCGGGAGTTGTCTCGTGGTTCGCGCGCCTGCTCCCGGAACCGGCGGGTCGCGGGTTCGATTCCTCCCTGGTCCGCGGGCGGGCGTCGCAAGATGCAACTTGCATTTTAAAGCAACTTGCGCAGAGCAACTTGCGCAGAGCAAGTTGCACAGAGCAACTTGCGCAGACCAACTTGCACCGACCAGTTTGCGCAGAGCAACTTACGCAGAGCAACTTGCGCAGAGCAACTTGCACAGAGCAGCTTGCACAGAGCAACTTGCAGGGAGCGCAATTTGCACAGAGCAACTTGCAGGGAGCCACTTGCAGGGACCAACTTGCCGGAGCAACTTGCGCGGAGCAACTTGCGCAGAGCAACTTGCACAGTGCAACTTGCGTAGAGCAACTTGCGCAGACCAACTTGCACCGACCAGTTTGCGCAGAGCACCTTGCCTGGTGCTGTCTCGCGCTTGCTTCACACATGCTTCGTGTAGGGATGCAGCGTTGGGCCGACCTCGCTTGCGATGTTCTGCTTTCGGGCCAACCGTGGTCTAGTTTGTTTTTTCTTCTCCGGGGTTGTTGGGGGGGGGGGGTTCTCAGGGTGTTGGTGTGTGTGTGTGTGTGTCAAATTTGGGTTATCCTTGGTTGTTGGTGGGTTCTGGGTTGTTTCCCAGGGTTTCCCTCGTCCGACCTCCCTTTTTCGGTCGTTGGGTTTTTCTCATCGCCTCTGAACCGGATGCAAGGGGTCCAAGATCAAAGGACGCAGCCCAAGGTCAAAGGTGCGACGACAGGCGGGGGTTTTTATCCGACCCCTGGAAAGGAAGTCGCCCCAACTCGGCGCGACTTTTTGGGGACTGGCGCGCGGCTCCGCCGGGCCTTCTTTTTTGTTTTCACCTGCAGAAAGGGGGGGGAAGGAAGTGAGGGGAGTTGGGGAAGTAGGGATTGCAACCCGTGGTTTTTGTTTATCCCGGCAAATGCGGAGGATATGGTGGGCGCAAACAAGCATCCCCGTCTTCTTGCTTGTTCCTGGCAGGGAATAGGGGGATGGACGGAGGGGCATGAAACGCGGAGAGCAAGACACTTGCTAGTGCTCAGTGGGGAATGAGTGAATGACACCTATAAACAATGCCTTACTTGTGGTTTCCTTTCATTTAAGGGACCCCCAGGTTCATTCCCGCCTTCCCTACTTTCCGCACCAGCAAGGAGACCCTCGCTCACACTCGCCAGGCGAATTTGAACATCAACGCCACAGGCTATGTGGCGGTGGAGGAGATGTGCCGACTGCGGGAGAGCTCCTGCGGAAGGCGAGGGGCAGTTTTGATCTGGAAGGCTCGGAGCAGCTTGGGGCAGTTTTGATCTGGAAGCGTTGCTTTTTTTTGGAGGATATCATTCTAGTGCTACCTTCCATTTCCATTCTTTCCAGGCATCCTTCTTTCTAGAACCCCCCCCCGGGAAAACCCAGGGAAACGGCCGGTTATTGAAAAGAACGATGGTTGAAAAAAGTAGGGAATCAAGCGTTATAATATTCCGTTTCAGGGGGGAACAAAAAGAAGACCCCCAATAGCCTGGATGGCCATTGGAATCTCCTTGTGACAAAGTGGTGACTGGGAATTTTCAGGTTTGTTTGTTCCAAGTTCCGCCCCGAAACTGCCAGAAAGCTTTGAGAACTCTTCGACCCCCCCCCCCCCCCTTCCCTCAATTTTTTGAAGCTGATGGGCTCTTGGTGAACACGCCCCAGCTACATGATGTCCACCAAAGGTTCCGGGACCGAGACTCACGCCCGAGGTTTTGGCTGCGAGTCCGATGTCTCTGCCCTGGAAGACTTCCCCCAAGATCAGCCTTCCATGCCGCAACTGCCCAAAAACCATATGATGTGTATAACCCAGACAAGGTGTGCTGAAGGGAAGCGTTCTCACCGGCACCTTGTGTTTGGGGCTGCTTTTTTAAAGAGCGGATTCCGAATGTCCTCCTCATTCTTGAGACAGACCAGGATGATTGATTCCCTTAAGATGTCCCGAAGAAAAGCAGGTTGCGAGTTTGGGCTATGGCCACACAGTGGGGCCTATGAAGTCAGAACTGCCATCAGCCCTTGAAGGATATCTTGATTGGGCCTGCTTCGGCGGATACCTTCTGGGAGGTGGGTCGTAGAGCAACATGTTTACATATTTTCAGAGGCTGGGAACAAGATTGAAAGGGAGAGGGCAGGGTTGCCGCATGTGCTGTATGTTCTAGAGGAGCTAGCCTCCTAACCGCTCGGTGCTGTACGGGCGCCCGGCGCCCCCTTTGGACGGGAGTTGAAGGCGCACGAGCTTGGACGAGATCCGATCTGTGGTCAAGCGGGGTGCCTCAGGAAGGCTCTTCTGGGTTGGGGTGGGTTGTGGCTGGGCGGTTGGGTGGTGGTGGGTTGGGGTGCGTTGGGGTGGGTTGGGGTGGGTTGCGATGGTTGGGTTGAGGTGGGTTGGGGTGGTGATCGGGTGGTTGGGTGGTTGGGGTTGGGGTGGTTGGGGTGTGGTTGGGGTGGGTTGGGGTGGTTGGGGTGTGGTTGGGGTGGGTTGGGTTGGGGTGGGGTGGTTGGGTTGGGTTGGGGTGGTTGGGTGTTTGGGTGGTTGGGGTGGAGGGTGGTTAGGATGGGTTGGGGTGGGTTTGGATTTGTTGGGGTGGCGGGGGGTGTGTTGGGGCGTGTTGTGGTTGGGGTGGGTTGGGTTGGGTTGGGTGGGTTGGGGTGGGTTGGGGTGGGTTGGGGTGGGTTCGGGTGTGGGGTGGGTTGGGGTGTGTTGGGGTGGTTGGGGTGGGTTGGGGTGGGTTGGGGTGGGTTGGGGTGGGTGGGAGGTGGATTGGTGTCAAAGGGTTGGGGTTGTGGGAAACTTACGGGAATTCAAAAAACAGTGCTTGCTTGTCGGATGCTTTCGGAGAGCTTGCTGCATCTTGCACTGCACCGACCGCTGAAACACATCTTGTGTAGGGCGGCAAGGCCACACTGGGCCGCCATCTCCTCGCCAGTAAGTGAGTTCCTTGTGCGATGGTTCGGACATATTACGGGAACCTGAACGATCTGGCTAGAGCTCGTTAAAATGAGGTAGCCTCTAATTTGGTGGCTTGGATTGGTGGATGGGACGCCAGTTTGCTGGGGTGGCGTCAACCAATTTTAAGGGGAAACTGATCAAATCCGTATTTAAGGTTACTTCGCAAGCCCTGGTTTGCTTTGGCACGCTTGCCTTTGCTTCGGCAAGAGTGCCGAGGCAGTGCCCCAAGCAGCGCTTTGAGATGTACGAGGCACGTCCTACCTTGGGAAGATCAGTTAAGCAAGAGTTGCATACTTGTCCTTTTGATCGCTTTGGTTCAATTTTCTACTAAAACAAGCAAAAATAATCCTTCTTCGGTTAGTTTGTTTCGAAACAGATCGGTTCCAAGGGTTTAGCTCGGTTTGCCACGTAAACCCATCTAGCTTTCTCCATGCCATCCCATGTGCCAGGGAACCCCGATCCAGTTTTCTCCCACTGCTCCCTGGCAAGGGGTCCGAGACGCCTCCGACCTCTCTCCCCAAGCTTCGGCGCGGATCCGGATGTCCAGGACAGCACCGGGGCCTGGATCCGGGCCACCCAGGGCCATTCTCTGGCCTCGGCAGGGATCCCTGGAGCTTTTCGGGCGCTCGACGAAAGCCGAAGGCCCGTCAAATTGGGCCTCCGCGTGGCTGAGTGGCCTCCAAATTCCGGAGGGGAGGACTAAGCCATAGCTTGGGGAATGATGCGAACATCGTTGACCTGTGTTTTTTCAACACGCTTCATGGACTTTGCGTTCCCACAGCGTTCCACAAATGAAATCAGAGGGTTTTTGTGAGGAAAGTTGACTCACCCAACCGGGTCTCAAAGATTAATTGTCAGTTGTCACTGGGCAAATAGGGTGTTGGAGGAGGGCCTCCATCAGAGTTTCCCCTGACTTTGCCTTTCGCAGGCATAGTTCACCATCTTTCGGGTCCTAACACACACGCTTTGACTCAAACTTCTCCCAATTGATTAGTCGGTTGCTAGCGCAAAGCATCCCAGCAGTCACCTTCATTATGCTCACATGAGCCATTGTAAAGAGTCTTTCAATAGCCCTCAGAGCTCAGAGCGTTGCGGTCACAATCTTGTGGTCAAAGACGGGGATTCTTCTTGGAATTAAATACTGACGTGGGTGTGCCTTGTTTTGAGGGTACCCTTTTTTGCGATAGTTTTGCTGCTCAAAAGACAGAACCAACCACCGACGTCTCTTTGAAAAAGGGTGAAATGGCTCCTGACGTTTTCGAAGGCGATTTATGTTTGGGATTCAAATCCATTTGCACTTTGAGGGATGTCTTTTTGGGTAAGCCATGAAACCCCACCCCTTGTGGGGTCCCTGTATTTCGACGCATGCCCTTCTGATGTCAAGGAATTTGTCTCTCAGATTTCCAGACACGCCGCTCAGGAATGGACCGGGATCCGGATCTGAAAATCGACTCCCTCCGTTTTTTCCAGCAGCTTCACTTGTGATAGCAGTTGCCCGGTGGATCCTCTACAAGGGCCTCCCTAAAACGCCCCAGGTGTTTGCAGGTTTTCTCCACGAAAGGCACTGGCTTTCCTTTGCGTTCTTGATTGACTGGCAAGAAGGGTACCCTCAAGACAGCCACTCCCTCCTTGAGAACACTCAAGCTCCCAGAAGACCGGCAGACGCCAACCAAGTCTTCCAAACATGGCGACTCAGTCTTTGGTGACCGAATCGCCCCGGTTTGGGCCGTGAAAGAAATGGCATTGCCAGCCTACAAAAAGTGGTACTGTGGATGGATGAAATCCTGCACCACTTCAAGCCATATGGGAAACCATTGTTGGCAGTTCCTGAGAAATCAGCATCTGCGACGTGGATTTCGTCCACCCACAGTACGAAATTTTGCTCCTGGAGCAAATCGCCCGAGGTGTCGGACGAGTCCATCCACCGGCCCCTGAACTCTGCGCAGGGCTCGGATTTCTTTTAGGATGCTTCCCGATTCGCACTCCTCCAGAACTGCCAGAAGTTGGGCCAATCTGAAGCATGACGCTTTGCCACCACCAAACTATCACGCAGCACGTTTCGGGATCCGGGCATCAACATCGCATGGGTGTGTGTTTCTGTTTGAGGATGATACAGTTAGACAGGGGCTTTCCCGTCCGCATTTTGCCATCCGGTCCTAGGGTCCCCCCCACACTTTTGGGCACATTCTGAATACGCCCACTAAAACAGCCTATTTTCAACATTCAAATTCAATCACCCAACCAATCCAACACCAAAAAACACATATTCATATACCCATCTTCATTTTTTACCCCATCTCAACATCACCCTTACACTCATTCAATAACAACAATCATAACTACATACCACCTCAACAAATCCCACCAAAAAAATCCAAGCTACATACCAACATTTTTTCATTCCCAAGATCGCAACCCCAAGATCTCAATAATTTCTCCCTTGATCCAACCTGAGACCCTTTCCCATTTCCAACAAATACGAACAGTCTAAAAAAGAACCCTATGTTCGCCCCGAAAAATGGTTAACCAATGGAAAAGGGAGAATTAAAACCGTTAACCCAAATCTTGAAAACAATCCCAGTAAAATATGGATGGCAAAATGCGGATGGGAAAGGCCTATGTAGGAAAGCACCCCCACGGCTTATACGGGAAAATTAAACTAAAATTACAACATATAAGATCTTATATGTTGTAACTATAGTATAATCAAGAACTGAAACATTCATCTCAATAATAGCTAGCCGCGCTTTCATTATCACTAAATTCTTCATCCTCGTCATAGAAGTCTTCCGTGCTTAATATATGATAAAATCGGATATGCCATTCTGCCTCTGTTCTGAATGGCATCATTTCCAACAGTGCTCTCATTGCATCGTAATAACCCATTCTCAAGTGTTTTCTTTTGTCATCAATACTATCAATGAACCAGAGCTGTTTAAATTTATTTTCAATATCATATATGTAGGAATAATTATAGAACGCTTTCAATTCTAAATATATTTCATAATCAGATTTGGTATCATCCAATGCTTCCGTTAAAGTCATTGCCCAGAATGGGTTTCTTTTTGCTCTTTCCCAAGTTGGAAAATGGTTTTTAAGAATATCATTAAACCTGTAAGGACATATATCATAACAGTGATATGACATAATTTTCAATCTAATTTCCAATGGTAGATTATTAATGTCGCACATACTTTACTTAATGTATTAAGGTAATATTTCTTTAAGCACTTTTTCAGGGAAACTTTTAAATCAAGCGAATTATAATTACAACATATAAGATCTTACATGTTGTAAGTATAGCAAAACTATGGTATCAAAGGCTTTAATCTATGTATTTCCATGGGTTGTATTCGTTTCTTCTGTTCCTTCCTTAACTCTTTTGTTGCTTTTACTTTGTCTCTGCATTCCTTACATGTTTTGTAAAATATCTCTTCCATTTTAATTCTATCACACATTTTGTGAAAATCCTTTCTTGGCTTTGCTTCGTCGCATTTACTGCAAGGATAAACCATTGTGTATCCTGTTTCTTCTTCGTCATCTGTAGAACTCATAATATTAGTTATGCCAATATGTCTTTAAAAGGATTTTCAGAGAAAAATGTTTTCAATCAAGAATAAATCCCTGTATCTTCATCATAGTCGATTTGATAAAATGTCATAGTTGAAGCCTTCGGTTCTTTAATTTCTTTGTTATTAAGTTTGTTTAAATAAATATTTCTTTTATTTTTATATTCACCATTGGTTCTATCTACTTCTTTACTTTGATAACTGTTTGTTAATGGTTTCTTCTTTTCCATTTCTTGTAAGATTTCTAACATATTCTTATTCTGTTCTAAAACCTTGTTCAGTTTTTTAACCATCTTTTCTAATCCTTCATCCATGTAAATATATATATATATATTATATTATAAAATAAAACTTTTAAAACTAAATGTTTAAATTATGTTAAATCTACTCTTTAAATACTAATTTTTCATCATTTGTTTAATAGTTTCCTGAGTTTCCTTATCACCATTATCGGATGGAGTAACTCCCCTCCCAAAGCGTATAGCAATATTATGAACATCTGTTTCTAAGTTGATACTGTCTTTAGTTTTATCAATATTCATTTTCTTATCATTCTTACTTAGTTTGAAACTTGTCGGAATACACGAACATTTACAGTTTCCTTTCTTTTGTATTTCTAATTCATTTTTCATTTCTAACATCTTTTTACACATTGGACAAGCAAACTCAATAACTGATGTTTCTTTAACAACTTCTTCTTTTTCTTCATCAGTTGAAGAAACAACTGGTTCAGTCTTATTCTTGTTCTTTCTTCCCATTTATATTAATATTTACATTTTTATTTTTGATATATTGTATCACAAACTTAATTAATTCTAAAATAAAATAACATATTTTTTTACATCTATTATCAGTTATAACAACTTGTTCTATATTCTCTACTTCATCTATTATATCAATATAATCTGAATAGCTTCTATTCATATAAAATAATAAATATAAAATATTTTCTAGATAACTTTAATATTATTTTATTATGTCAGATGTTCCAATAATAAAACCAATAAACATAACTGAATATGAATTCACACAATCTAAATATGAGCACGTGCCAAAATTACCATTTAGAAGTATTATAGTTGCGAGTTCGACAGGTGGCAAAACAGTCTTGGTTCAGAACCTTATCTTAAATGTTTATAGGAATTCATTTGCAAGAATATTCATATTTTCCCCCAGCGTTCATAATGACCCAACCTTTACAGAAGTTAAAAAATATATCAGGGATGAATTGCACGTGGATGATGAAAAAGAACAAGTTTATTTTGATAATTATAATCCAAGTGATTTAGAAAATGTAATTGAAAGATAGAAGAAAATAATTAGTTATATGAAATCTAAAAAGATAAAGACACTACATTCAATATTAATCGTTATAGACGATCATGCCGACGATCCTAAATTTGTTAGATATAGTAAATTATTACATGGATTATTTACAAGAGGTAGGCACGATGCAGTAAGCGTAATTTGTTCAACACAGAAATACAATGTTTTGGCGCCTATCATTCGTTTAAATGCCAGTTCGTTATATATTTTTAGGTTGAAAAATGCCAGTGAATTAATGAGTTTTATTGAAGAAAATAGCGCCATTGTTGATAAACAGCAATTATTAGATATGTATCATCAAGCCGTTATTTTTGCTCCATATTCTTTTTTCTACGTGAATATGAATTCAAAAGACATTAACAAAATGTTTCATATCAATTTTGAACAGGCATTTCAAATTACAAATGATGAATAAATATATTCTATTTTAATATAATATAATAATATGCTAATGAAACTATGTAGATGCGGTGGATTTTATCGTAGAGGTAATTACAGTTTTCATACTAATTCTTGGATACATAAACTTTATAAAGTGTTAAAAAGACGACCAACAGACGAGGAATTATTAAGATTTCAAAATAATTTTGTTGATGAAGAAGATTTAATAGATGATATATGTAGCAATGCATCAACGAAATTACCCGATAGTGAAATGACAGATTATGATAGTAATCAATAATATTAATTTGTTTTAATATTATAAATTTAAAATAATGAACAATTACATAATTGAACAGGTAATTTATATATCAATTTGTCAGATTTTTCTTTTTCTAATTTCTCAATTCGTGCCACACATTCTTGAAGAGATTTAATAATTAAAGTGTCTGCTCGTGTTTTTTCATCTATACTTAAAACCTTAATGTCTTCCAAACTATTATTTTCATTATTTTTACTTTGAAAAGCACCCATTATATATAATATTATTTAGATTTTAATTTTTCAAAATTATATTTTTGTTTTTCTTCTCCGTCTTCTTCTTCGTCTTCAGTTGGTGCTGGTATTTCTGTTGGACTTTCAGATGAAGAACTATGAACAGTAATAGGTGGAGAACTATGAACACTAATAGCTTCATTTGATGAATTGCTACTGCTACCTTGTGCATTTCCTGCTGTTATTTGATTAACTAAATCTGCGATATTTATTGTTGTTGCAATTGCGCTATGTGATAAGTTTAATATTATATCTGCTACTGTAGCGCCGTTGTGTAGCATTATTTCTATCATTTTTGTCAGTTTGAACTTCTTTTCTTCTTCATCGCTGTCCTCCTCGTCTGGTGGTTTCTTTGGCGGTGGTTCTGGTGGTTTGTTGTTGTCAAGCATTGTAGTAAAGGCTGACACCATTGCATCGCGTTGGTTTTTCAGTGTTTGTGTTGCTTGCGTTCTTGTTGGTTCATGTTTTTTGTATGCGTTGTGCCAAAAGTGTTTAAGCATTATTTTAAACATATTGTCTTGGTTTTCCTTTACCTTAAACGCTTCAAATGTCATATTTAATTGCTGATTGTATAACTTTTCTTGAGTCTCTCTGGTTTCTGTTGCAATTGTATCTGTATTGGTTGCAATGTCAATAAATTCTCTCGGTATGCCTTTTTTCATCATTTTCGGTGGTTGTATTGTTGTTGGTGTGTTTGGTTTTGTTAGGTTATGTATTGAAAAACTGTCGTCGTGATCATAATTATCATTGAACTTCTGCTTCTTTCTTTTCAGTATATTTTTAGTTAATATAATCATTATTAATTGTATTTAGATATTAATATTTATGGATAGCCACTGGAACCGCTTGCCCGACTGGGAGGCTTTGCTTGCGACTTGCTTCTTGCCCCTTCTACTTGTGCTTGCTTTGCTATGTATCTGTAATAAATCACGTTGCCGTAATATTTTCCTAAATCTACCCTAATTGCATCCTTGCGGTCTTTTCCTTTGGCATTATCAAGCAACTGTATTATTTTATAATAGCCGTCAAACTCTCTTTCTGACACCAAACCTAAATCATACATATTCCTAACTACATTACTCATTTCGGATGTGTTATTAGCAAATTCA